ATGTACGTATATATATAAATATATATGTATATAAATGCATACATATATACATACTCATAAATACATAGTTTTATAGATACTTCCCGTCTACCCCGGTGTGATATTCATATATTTAGTCAATGCAAAGATGAGAATTTTTTAAAAATGTCCCCAGTATAAAAGCAAAAGAAAACAAGACAAAACAAAAAAGGGAAAACATACTCTGCTCCTACCGCTTACCCGGGATATCCCAACAGGCAAAGCGGGGGAGCAGGGGGAGGGAGGGCGGGAGCCAGATCCTGTATATAAGCGAGGTTGCACCTTCCACTCGCCACATTAAACAGCTCACCTCTTACCAACAATGAATGTGAGTATATTCTAGGAGAGTAGCAACTATATTGTTCCATGCTTAAAATCGTCTTATATAAAGTAAGATGTTCAAGAACTGCAGAAAATGTTGCCATATGTATATATTGGTCATTAATTTCGTTATCTCTTGCAGAGCATCAAAGCCGTGATTGTATGTTGCTTCGTGGTGGCCGTTTCCGCCGGTGTCGACCGAAATAGAGGTGGACAAGGATCCAACAGATTCCTTCCTGGAGGCTTCGGTGGCGTCCACGGTGGCGGTCTCTTCGGAGGCGGAATCCACGGTGGTAGTGGTATTATCGGTGGTGGAATCTCCAATGGCCCAAGTGAATGCAGATACTGGTGCAAGACTCCGGAGGGTCAAGCCTACTGCTGTGAGACGGTGCACGAACCCGAGACACCTGTTGGTACCAAGCCACTGGATTGCCCACAAGTCCGTCCCACATGCCCACGTTTCCATGGGCCTCCCACAACCTGTTCCAACGACTACAAGTGTGCTGGCCTCGACAAGTGTTGCTTCGACAGGTGTCTGGGGGAGCACGTGTGCAAGCCTCCCTCATTTTTCAATAACCATCTCCCATTTTAAATCTTATGTCTAATGAATAATCAGCAGTTTTCCTGATAACCAAAGACAAATAAGTAATTTGTAAATGTTGATTTTAATAAAACCGTATATGTTTATGTCTACTTAAATGATTGAAATTTTGATTTTCTTATTAAATACTAAGGTAGTAAAAACAAAGAAACATTATAAGCCTCGTTTATCGCATTCGGATTAAGTACACAAACCAAATGTAGGTACTGGTTTCACAGGGAATTCGTTTGATTGAAACTTTCCCAAGTTATAGATCTGGTTATCACCATCCTGAAATTAATTAAAAGGATTCTGAATACACAGACGCATATATATGCGCATACATTCAAATATATATATATGCCTTCAAAAACAAGCGCCTATACAAGCGTGTGTTTATGTATGTATATACAAAATTTTCACAGACGGATTTGTATGTATATATATCTGAATACACATACATATCAGTATATGTATAAAAATATATATGTATATGTATATAGATTATTTGCGAGTTATTTTTCAGGTAATCTAGAAGAGGGAGGGGATAGCACATGTTAAGAGAGAGAGAGCGAGAGAGAGAAAGATCGAGTTAAGTAAAAAGATCGATACAGAGAGAAAGGGGGACTAGGTAAAAAAAAAAAAAAAAAACATACGAAAACTGAGAGAGAAGCTTTATCCTACACATTTGTAGGATAAACACCGGTCTAGAAATAAACGTCACTGAGCACATGGCTGATGACGTCACAGAAGAAAGTACAAAGCACAGCCGTTGCATGGAGTGTTGCCAACGTCAAGATTTTTTTTTTTTTTTTTTTTTTTTACCGGAATATCTCGGTCTATATTGAATTAAGATTGAGCTGAAACCGCACACGAGGATTTCCGTTGATTCTCTGACCTTTATGAAACTTATAAGTGATAATAACTGTTACTGGGGTTCTATCACGTGACTGAGACAACTATTTTAGCAGAATGATTTGTAGTAATTTTAGCAGTAGTTACGGTAAATCCTTCAATGAATGTTATAAATGGCTGGCCATGGAAGCTTCTTACTTATACCCATTTTTACATTTTCTTCTTTGTCATCAGTGTATAAAGGAAAGAAAAATTATATTTCGCAAGAAGTGAACTGGAAAAGCAGACACGATACGTGGAAATTCACGCCGCCGTCTCGGGATATCCCGACTGGCAAGGTGAAGCTAGAAGGGGGAGGGAGGTGGCCGCCAGTTCCTGCATCTCCTACTCTCCACATTACGCCGCTAAACTCTAACCAACAATGAATGTGAGTGCTTGTTACAAGATGAATCATAATTATATTCAATTGTTTTTAGAGACTCGGATGTTCATATTCTAATAAAGATAAGTGGTTAGTTGTCAATAGGATACTATTTTACCTTAGCAACGATAAACCAATTTTCAGCATGATGAATAATTTCGTTTTCTCAACTTGCAGAGCTTCAAAGCCGTGATTGTATGTTGCCTCCTGGTAGCCGTCTCCGCCGGTGTAGACCAAAGTAGAGGAGGACAAGGATCCAACAGATTCTTTCCTGGCGTCCATGGAGGCAATGTGTTTGCCGGCGGTATTCATGGTGGCGGAATCCATGGTGGTGGAATTCATGGTGGCGGAGTCCATGGTGGATTCCACGGGGGTAGTAGTATTGTTGGCGGTGGAATCTCCACTGGCACAAGTCAGTGCAGGTATTGGTGCAAGACTCCGAAGGGTTAAGTCTACTGCTGCGAGACGGTGCATGAACCAGAGACACCTGTTGATACCAAGCCACTGGTACGTCCCACATGCCCACGCTTTCATGGGGCTCCCACAACCTGTTCCAACGACTACAAGTGTGCTGGCCTCGATAAGTGTTTGGGAGAACACGTGTGCAAACCTTATCTTTCTAGGTCATCTTTCATTCATTAATTCATATATTAGTATTATTTTTTGTTTATTGTATTACGAATGTTGCGTAAAATACATAATATGGGCAACAGTTTCAACAGAGATTTTGCAAAGTATTATAATATTTGGTCATCTTTGTTCTGAAAGTGATAATATTGAGAATCTCTTCCCATTTACATGCACGATCATGCGTATATATTTATTCGTATATTCTTCAAACACGTATGCGTGCGTACCCACGCTCACGCAAAGATATATATATGTGTGTGTGTAATCCATTCATGCAGATGTCCAAGAAACAGAGAATTTACGAAAATGATTACATAAAATAGCTTAAAAGTGATAGAAAAAAGAGGAACACTGAGTGATGCAAGTGATGGCGAAATATAAGAGGAATTACTTTAAAGGGATTGGAATTTGAAGAGCGAAAACTAATAATGGGGAAGTATTTCTGATGATACCAACATTCTGCTAAAATAGTTGTCTCAGTCACGTGACAGAACCCCAGTAACAGTTATTATTATCACTTTGTATCTTAATGGTTCTTCTATATTAGTTTCCTAAGGGTCAGAGGTAAGAGAATCAACGAAATCCTCGTGTGCGGTTTCAGCTCAATCTTAATTCAATATAGACCGAGATATCCCGGTAAAAAAAAAAAAAAAAAAAAAAAGCTTGACACTCCATGCAATGGTTGTAGTTTGTACTTTCTTCTGTGACGTCATCAGCCATGTGCTCAGTGACGTTTCCTTCTAGACCGGTGTTTATTCTACAAATGTGGACTATGCTCTTTCTTTCTCGTTCTCCACTCTCCTTCTCTCTCGCTCTTCGTATAGCTTTTTCTATCTAGTCTCTCTGTATCGATCTTTCTACCTAACTCGATCATTCTCTCTCTCGCTCTCTCTCTCTCTCTTAACATGTGCTATCCCCTCCCTCTTCTAGATTATTTGAAAAATAACTAGCAAATAATTTATATACATATGGATATATATTATTATAAATATACTGATATGTATGTGTATTCATACAAATCCGTCTGTGAATTTTTTGTATATACATACATAAACACACGCGTGTATAGGCGTTTGTTTTTGAAGGCATGCATATATGAATGCATGCGCATATATATACACGTCTGTATTCAGAATCTTTTTAATTATTTTCAGGATGGTGATAAGAATATCTACAACTTGGGAGTTTCAATCAAACTAATACCAACATTCTGCTAAAATAGTTGTCTCAGTCACGTGACAGAACCCCAGCAACAGTAATTATTATCACTTTGTATCTTAGTGGTTCTTCTATATTAGTTTCCTAAAGGTCAGAGGTTAGAGAATCAACGGAAATCCTCGTGTGCGGTTTCAGCTCAATCTTAATTCAATATAGACCGAGATATCCCGGTAAAAAAAAAAAAAAAAAAAAAAAAAAAAAAAAAAAAAAAAAAACTTGACACTCCATGCAATGGTTGTAGTTTGTACTTTCTTCTGTGACGTCATCAGCCATGTGCTCAGTGACGTTTACTTCTAGACCGGTGTTTATTCTACAAATGTAGACTATGCTCTTTCTTTCTCGTTCTCCACTCCCATTTTCTCTCGCTCTTCGTATGGCTTTTTCTATCTAGTCTCTCTCTGTATCGATCTTTCTACCTAACTCGATCATTCTCTCGCTCTCTCTCTCTTAACATGTGCTATCCCCTCCCTCTTCTAGATTACCTGAAAAATAACTAGCAAATAATTTATATACATATGGATATATGTTATTATACATATACTGATATGCATGTGTATTCATACAAATCCGTCTGTGAAATTTTTGTATATACATACATAAACACACGCGTGTATAGGCGTTTATTTTTGAAGGCATACATATATGAATGTATGCGCATATATATACGTCTGTATTCAGAATCTTTTAAATTATTTTCAGGATGGTGATAAGTAGATCTACAACTTGGGAGTTTCAATCAAACTAATTCCTTGTTAAACCAGTACCTACAACATCTGGTTTTAGTGTACTTAATCCGAATGCGATAAACGAGGCTTATATTTTTTCTTTTAGTTTTTACTACCCTATTATTTTATTAGAAAATACATGAGGTGCCTCAAATTTTCAATAATTTCGAACCTTATATCAGTTTGATTAGGTGGTTATAATCAAACTGAAGGGAATAAAGAAATTTAAGTAGATATAAACATATACGATTTTATTAAAATCTACATGTACAAACAACTTGTCTTTGGTTATCCGGAAAACTGCTGATTACTCTTTAGACATAACAAGATTTAAAATGGGAGATGGTTATTGAAAAAGGAGGGAGGTTTGCACACGTGTTCTCCCAAACACCTGTCGAAGCAACACTTATCGAGGCCAGCACATTTGTAGTCGTTGGAACAGGTAGTGGGAGGTCCATTGAAACGTGGGCAGGTGGGACGGACTTGTGGACAATCCAGTGGCTTGGTGCCAACAGGTGTCTCTGGTTCGTGCACCGTCTCACAGCAGTAGGCTTGACCCTCCGGAGTCTTGCACCAATATCTGCATTCACTTGGGCCATTGGAGATTCCACCTCCGATAATAGCACTACCACCGTGGATTCCACCATGGATACCGCCACCATGAATACCGCCGCCAAACACACCGCCTCCGTGGACGCCAGCCAACCCTCCAGGAAGGAATCTGTTGGATCCTCGTCCACCTCTACTTCGGTCTACACCAGCAGAGACGGCCACCACGAGGCAACACACAATTACGGCTTTGATGCTCTGAAACAGATAATGAAATTAGTCTATTATCAGCAAATTAGGAATATCTGATTTTGAGATAAAGTGCGATGCAATGTGGTTGCTACTCTGTATCTTAGAATAAGTACTTACATTCATTGTCGGTAAGAGATAAGTTGTGTAATGTGGTGAGAGCAAGTTCCAACCTCGCTTATATACGAGACCTGGCTACCGTCCGCCCTCCCGCTGCCCCGCTTTGCCAATCGGGATATCCCGAGTAAGCGGTAGCAGCTTCTAGGTAACATGCAGTTTATGGTTTCCCAGCTTTTTGTTTTGTTTTTGCGAATTGTTTCCGATTTTTTTTATTTTTTTTATTTTTTTTAATATCTTATAGTTATACGAAACCGAGAAGGTAAGAAGTATCTATTTCTGTCTACTTATCTTCGCTCAACACATACTCAAATGTTTGTGGGCAGGTATACATCAGTTAAATACGTAATATTCATATGTTTCTTTACATCTTTCATGCATATATATACAAATTCATCTCTTTCGTCTTTTTCTCCTTCAGTCTGCATCGTCGGAAAGCCACAAGGAGACAACACGCTATTCCGGATATGATAAAGTCATTCACCATGCCCTGCACTGATTTTGCTGTATTGTTTAAATAGGAGGGCAGTCTGGCCACCCCACTCTCCCATTGCCAAGTCGGAATATAATTCATTATGACACCAAATTAAAGGTATCGTACCTTACACTATATGGGTTTCTAGGTATTTCTTGAAATCTACGGAGTTGTTTCAGTTTTACTAAACATTGTATTTTTCTCTTTTCTTTACCTCTGATGGTCACTGAAAGAGATGAAAAATAATTGATCATTGATTTAGCATAAGAAATGTATATACTACACAGACACACTCACGAGTGTGTATGTATATATATATATATAAAGTGATCAATGATTGAGGAAATAAGACCATTAAGAGACTGATTGTTGACTGAGAATAAAAACCCATGATTAAGGTTATCATTAATTGAGGATAAGAAACCAAAGAAAGAACAGGAATGAGAAAACAGTCAAACATCAAGAAAGGGACAGATGTAGAAACCAAGCTCTCAGACTGAAATGCCCCTCCTCTGAAAAGCAAAAGGAGATTTTAGAAAAGGAGAAGAAATGATGAAAATAAAAAAAAATAATAGTAGTAAAGAACAGTAAATTAAGAACATACAGTAATATGGGAAGTAATTTTAGAAGTTCCAAAAATAGAAAGTAAATTGCTAAATCAGTATTAGTATAAATGTTAGCATTACCAAAGTAAAGTTATCTGTACCAGTATTTTTAGCAATATTCTTGATATGACTATCAGTATCATTATTACCATTATTAGTCTATTTTCAAAATTGTGATCATCCACTACATAACCATTGTTGTTGTGTTGTTATTTGCTTTGATTTATTGCATTAACTATTTTTGTATTGTCTTGTCATTGATATCGTTTGGTGTTGTTTTTGTACTGTAAGGATTATCAGACATTCCATCCTTTTTTTTCATTATGATTGCTGATATCACTATTAACATTACATTTATTAATACCCAAAATATTCCTATCGTTAACATTATTAGCATTAATTCTATTTTCATCCTTATTATTACTTATACCGGCAGAATGAGTTGGCTGCGTAAAAGAAAATGCCAGGTTATTCAATCAGGAAATATCCGGATCATGCCTGAAGACGAGAGACGGAGGCGGTAGCTCGGGTTTTTAGACGCGTGGGGCTTCAACTCGATGACGTCATAGCATCCAGGTCTAGTCCAGTCATAATAGAAGTATGTTTTTCCTTCGGGATATTTGCCGGAAGATATGCTATTGGCATCCTAAGAAAGCGAAGATAAATAGACGGACAGAAAACCAGAAGTAATGAAGTGAGAAGGGGAAGGGGCGAAGACGGGAAACAAGTCGTTGGGAATACAAATGTTTATACACCTATCATTATGGTCATCCGTTTCCTTTTAACTTAGCTAGAAATTCTAATATGGGGTACTTGATTCGTTCCTAAACAGAAATATGATATCTGTCTTGTTAAATATATTTAGATACAAGTAAAAATGTAGAAAACAGAGCACAGCTCAAGCTTTAATAAACTATAAGATATCTGTATGTTATTGTTCTAAATATCGTCATTGCCTTCTTCATTTATTTGCCTTTCCGAATGTTCATATTCTATATATATGTAGTATGTTCTTCATCACTGCTGTGTAAAAACTTTGACAATATAAGAAGAAATACTTTAAAGGGATTGGAATTTGAAGAACGGAAACTAAAAGAGTACGAATGCAAAAGAAACTTTTTACAATCAAATACTACCGGATGATAGAAGCAAATTGCACTTTTTAAAAAATGGGTATTTCTGAAGATGCCAACGCTATGCGCTGGCCATAAGACTAGTTCTTTCCTCCGTGACGTCATCCGCCACATCTTCAGTGACGTCACAGTTGCCAGTCTGCACACTCTAGAGGAGAGGAGGCGATTGAGTAGGATGATTTTCAATACATGTTGCATTCCTTTCCTTAGCAGGCAGTGATACCCATGTGGATATGTTTTAGGAAGTCCCACTCGGGTGAATTTCTCATGAACCAGTCATGACAGTGTGTCACCTTCATCTTCATCTGTTGTTACAATCGAACTTTTTCTTTCTTTTTCTTTTATGCTGCGTTTATTTACGCATTTCCTTTCCTTCTTCTCTACCTTCCTTGCTTTCTTTTACTTTTCCTTTTCAACCATATTTTATTCCTGTGATACACTAAATTTTGTCAAAGAAACCCATCTAAAGAACCAGTTGACTCTGCACTAAACGGTAGCTTGATAGGTCAAAGATCTTGGAAGATTACCAGTCTTCATCTCATGTATAAGTTGATGGTCTAACCTTGCTTTTCATGTGTATTCCAAGCAGATTTCTCTGTTTCGCGTTAGACGCACGACAATTGTACTCAACTCAAATATAATTCGGATATTCCAAAAAAAAAAATGTTTTGCCCTGTCAGGAATTACTGTTTTCTCACTATAGTATTACCAAGTTCATGTTAATAGAAATATAGTTTTTTAATTGATAACGTTGAAATTTAAAATTCATCTGTTAGAATGACTTTTCTAAGCGTCGGATATATTATTTAAACGAGGGTTAATGGAATTAAATAAAGCTTATAGACATTTATAAATTCATTATTTGAAGTTTTGATACATAATTTGCATATCATCTGACCGTCTATTCTTCAAGTAAGATAACCAACTTTAAAAGGGAAAAAAGAGTTGAAAAATGTTTCACAGTTACTCTCTATCCTTCTCTTTTGGATACCGAGATGACTGAATATATATGTATATATCACACACACACACACACACACATATATACATAAATACAGAAACATTTATAAATACAAACATGTGTGTGCGTGTGTACATACATATATGTACATATAAATACACACACATAATATATGCATTATTATGCAAGAATTGTATGTGTGTAAGAGAGAGAAAATGTGTGCATACCGTATGTATGTATATATATAATATATATGTGTGTGTGCATATATAATATGTATATATGTATATATATATTTATATATTTGTACGTGTACACACACACGTGTATCCATGCATACATGTATATATATACATATGCATATATACATATATATGTATATATATATATGCATGCGTATATATATGTATATATATTTATATTTATATATATATACACATGCGTGTATGTGTATATATACATATATATTTTTATATATACACACAAGTATACATACGCAGACATACGCATATATTTTATGTGTATACATATATATGCGTATATACTTAGATATATATGTGTGTGTGAGTAAGCACATACAGACTATATGATTATATACATGTATATGTATTAATACTTATGTACGTATATATATAAATATATATGTATATAAATGCATACATATATACATACTCATAAATACATAGTTTTATAGATACTTCCCGTCTACCCCGGTGTGATATTCATATATTTAGTCAATGCAAAGATGAGAATTTTTTAAAAATATCCCCAGTATAAAAGCAAAAGAAAACAAGACAAAACAAAAAAGGGAAAACATACTCTGCTCCTACCGCTTACCCGGGATATCCCAACAGGCAAAACGGGGGAGCAGGGGGAGGGAGGGCGGGAGCCAGATCCTGTATATAAGCGAGGTTGCACCTTCCGCTCGCCACATTAAACAGCTCACCTCTTACCAACAATGAATGTGAGTATATTCTAGGAGAGTAGCAACTATATTGCTCCATGCTTAAAATCGTCTTATATAAAGTAAGATGTTCAAGAACTGCAGAAAATGTTGCCATATGTATATATTGGTCATTAATTTCGTTATCTCTTGCAGAGCATCAAAGCCGTGATTGTATGTTGCTTCGTGGTGGCCGTTTCCGCCGGTGTCGACCGAAATAGAGGTGGACAAGGATCCAACAGATTCCTTCCTGGAGGCTTCGGTGGCGTCCACGGTGGCGGTCTCTTCGGAGGCGGAATCCACGGTGGTAGTGGTATTATCGGTGGTGGAATCTCCAATGGCCCAAGTGAATGCAGATACTGGTGCAAGACTCCGGAGGGTCAAGCCTACTGCTGTGAGACGGTGCACGAACCCGAGACACCTGTTGGTACCAAGCCACTGGATTGCCCACAAGTCCGTCCCACATGCCCACGTTTCCATGGGCCTCCCACAACCTGTTCCAACGACTACAAGTGTGCTGGCCTCGACAAGTGTTGCTTCGACAGGTGTCTGGGGGAGCACGTGTGCAAGCCTCCCTCATTTTTCAATAACCATCTCCCATTTTAAATCTTATGTCTAATGAATAATCAGCAGTTTTCCTGATAACCAAAGACAAATAAGTAATTTGTAAATGTTGATTTTAATAAAACCGTATATGTTTATGTCTACTTAAATGATTGAAATTTTGATTTTCTTATTAAATACTAAGGTAGTAAAAACAAAGAAACATTATAAGCCTTGTTTATCGCATTCGGATTAAGTACACAAACCAAATGTAGGTACTGGTTTCACAGGGAATTCGTTTGATTGAAACTTTCCCAAGTTATAGATCTGGTTATCACCATCCTGAAACTAATTAAAAGGATTTTGAATACACAGACGCATATATATGCGCATACATTCAAATATATATATATGCCTTCAAAAACAAACGCCTATACAAGCGTGTGTTTATGCATGTATATACAAAATTTTCACAGACGGATTTGTATGTATATATATCTGAATACACATACATATCAGTATATGTATAAAAATATATATGTATATGTATATAGATTATTTGCGAGTTATTTTTCAGGTAATCTAGAAGAGGGAGGGGATAGCACATGTTAAGAGAGAGAGAGCGAGAGAGAGAAAGATCGAGTTAAGTAAAAAGATCGATACAGAGAGAAAGGGGGACTAGGTAAAAAAAAAAACAAAAAACATACGAAAACCGAGAGAGAAGCTTTATCCTACACATTTGTAGGATAAACACCGGTCTAGAAATAAACGTCACTGAGCACATGGCTGATGACGTCACAGAAGAAAGTACAAAGCACAGCCGTTGCATGGAGTGTTGCCAACGTCAAGATTTTTTTTTTTTTTTTTACCGGAATATCTCGGTCTATATTGAATTAAGATTGAGCTGAAACCGCACACGAGGATTTCCGTTGATTCTCTGACCTTTATGAAACTTATAAGTGATAATAACTGTTACTGGGGTTCTATCACGTGACTGAGACAACTATTTTAGCAGAATGATTTGTAGTAATTTTAGCAGTAGTTACGGTAAATCCTTCAATGAATGTTATAAATGGCTGGCCATGGAAGCTTCTTACTTATACCCATTTTTACATTTTCTTCTTTGTCATCAGTGTATAAAGGAAAGAAAAATTATATTTCGCAAGAAGTGAACTGGAAAAGCAGACACGATACGTGGAAATTCACGCCGCCGTCTCGGGATATCCCGACTGGCAAGGTGAAGCTAGAAGGGGGAGGGAGGTGGCCGCCAGTTCCTGCATCTCCTACTCTCCACATTACGCCGCTAAACTCTAACCAACAATGAATGTGAGTGCTTGTTACAAGATGAATCATAATTATATTCAATTGTTTTTAGAGACTCGGATGTTCATATTCTAATAAAGATAAGTGGTTAGTTGTCAATAGGATACTATTTTACCTTAGCAACGATAAACCAATTTTCAGCATGATGAATAATTTCGTTTTCTCAACTTGCAGAGCTTCAAAGCCGTGATTGTATGTTGCCTCCTGGTAGCCGTCTCCGCCGGTGTAGACCAAAGTAGAGGAGGACAAGGATCCAACAGATTCTTTCCTGGCGTCCATGGAGGCAATGTGTTTGCCGGCGGTATTCATGGTGGCGGAATCCATGGTGGTGGAATTCATGGTGGCGGAGTCCATGGTGGATTCCACGGGGGTAGTAGTATTGTTGGCGGTGGAATCTCCACTGGCACAAGTCAGTGCAGGTATTGGTGCAAGACTCCGAAGGGTTAAGTCTACTGCTGCGAGACGGTGCATGAACCAGAGACACCTGTTGATACCAAGCCACTGGTACGTCCCACATGCCCACGCTTTCATGGGGCTCCCACAACCTGTTCCAACGACTACAAGTGTGCTGGCCTCGATAAGTGTTTGGGAGAACACGTGTGCAAACCTTATCTTTCTAGGTCATCTTTCATTCATTAATTCATATATTAGTATTATTTTTTGTTTATTGTATTACGAATGTTGCGTAAAATACATAATATGGGCAACAGTTTCAACAGAGATTTTGCAAAGTATTATAATATTTGGTCATCTTTGTTCTGAAAGTGATAATATTGAGAATCTCTTCCCATTTACATGCACGATCATGCGTATCTATTTATTCGTATATTCTTGAAACATTTATAAATGTAGATTTTAATAAAATCGTATATGTTTATATCTACTTAAATTTCTTTATTCCCTTCAGTTTGATTATAACCACCTAATCAAACTGATATAAGGTTCGAAATTATTGAAAATTTGAGGCACCTCATGTATTTTCTAATAAAATAATAGGGTAGTAAAAACTAAAAGAAAAAATATAAGCCTCGTTTATCGCATTCGGATTAAGTACACTAAAACCAGATGTTGTAGGTACTGGTTTAACAAGGAATTAGTTTGATTGAAACTCCCAAGTTGTAGATCTACTTATCACCATCCTGAAAATAATTTAAAAGATTCTGAATACAGACGTATATATATGCGCATACATTCATATATGTATGCCTTCAAAAATAAACGCCTATACACGCGTGTGTTTATGTATGTATATACAAAAATTTCACAGACGGATTTGTATGAATACACATGCATATCAGTATATGTATAATAACATATATCCATATGTATATAAATTATTTGCTAGTTATTTTTCAGGTAATCTAGAAGAGGGAGGGGATAGCACATGTTAAGAGAGAGAGAGCGAGAGAATGATCGAGTTAGGTAGAAAGATCGATACGAGAGGAGATAGATATCTATTAAAAAATGGAGAGGAAATTATGAAGATTAACAAAACTAATATTCATAAAGAACAGTAGAATTAAGAACAT